GATACTATGAAGTGTCATTTCACCTAAATGTGGAAGAAACTTAACTTTTTATTCTTTAAATTCATAAATTCAGGGATAAAGATTTGCAGAATGATGACTGAAGCAGAGAATGTGGGTTGGACACATGGTTACTTTGATTGAAACCATTGGCAGTTCAGGATGGTTTATCAAAGCCAAGCATTCTGTGGAATGGACCTGCTTTGTGAAAGCTGCTGGCAGGCAGGTAGACAGAGATTTAGCATTTCAATCTCTAGGGGCAAGGACAGTAGGACACACTAGAAAAAATAAGTTAATAGGTGCTTGTAGGTCATCGGAAAGTCTAACATTATCAGGTTATCTAGATCGATGGCTTGTCACTTTGGTCACATGTTCTTGAGAACACTTCACCAGTCAAGTGAGGGCAGCGCTATGTTTACGCTCATTCTAAAAGGTCATGTTTGAATCTCACATGAGTAAAAGTAAGTGGTTCTGTGACCCGATGGAGGACAGACTTCAGGAAAGATAGAATGTAATGGAAGAAGAGTTTGTCAGTCTCATGAGAATCCAGTGTTATTCCAGGTGGTTTCTTGCTGTGTGAGGTTCAGTGAGGTTCCTAAAACAGTCAACAGTATTATTGTGAAATATCATTACAATTTAAAACTATTTTCTATGTTAAATATTCCAAAATGTAATTTATTCCTGTGATGGCTGAATTTTCAGCATCCATTACTCCAGTCTTCAGTGTCACATGAACATTCAGAAAATATTCTAATACTGATTTTATGTATTAGAACATTCCTTATTATTATCATTGTTGAAAATAATTTTTATCTTTGTGGAAACAGTGATACATTTTGTTTTTAGGATTTTTTGATGAATAGAAACAACAGCATTCATTTTAAATACATTTTTTGGTGACAATGTCAAAGTATTTACTGACACTATTGATCAATTTAATACATCATTGCTGGATGAAAGTATTAATTTTTTCTGAAAAAAATCTTACTAACCTTTTTGAACGATATATGTAGTATAGTTATAGTTATTTGGTAAACTGGTACTATAATTGAGCAAATATGCAAATATGTAATGTCAACTAATTGCTTTGAATTGATCATTCAGTGTTCCATTGCTTGATTGCACAACAAATATAACTGACTTTGTGAAGTTTTCACCCTAAAATAACTGCTCAAATCAATCCTGAAGTTATGAAGTCCAAGGAGCTGTGAAGCTGTCAAGTTAAAGTTGTTGAGGGGAGAAAGGCTACGAAGGGTTATAAAAAGATTGGCGAAGCTGTGAGCCTTCCTAGCAACATGAAGTCCATTGAAACAAAATAGAAAATTCGTGGCACAACCCAGTCACTGTTAAGATCAGACCTTCCAGCCAAACTGAGCAATAGGACAAGAAGGGCAATTGTCAGAAAAGGGTCCAAGAGGCCAGCTATACAACAATGAAATGGAAACTATCCAGACTTCAAAAATCTCTTTGACATTTTACAGATTGAGCCTCTTTGGGAGAGTGGCTTGAGAAAGGGTAATATTAAGTCGTGCCTAGAGTTTTATAGAAGACATTTGAAAAAACTTTAAGCCTTCTGAAAGAAAATATCGTTATATATATTAAGAAACAAAATCTAGGGGGAGTATATATTTTTGGAGGGTATTTTTGGGACAATGCAGAATGTTATAACACAGGATAGTCATCAGCAAAGACTTTTAACAAGTCTCCTTACGTGCCATCTGCCTCATTAACCTTGCTATGCTCCTCGATTGCAAAATTGGCCAGTCTTAAAAAATCAATATGTTGGATTGAAGGGGAAAGAAAGTGGAATTTTTGAGAGCTTTGCTGCTGAACTGACAGCTACCATTTAGGAAATAGAGTAACTGCTCAACCCTTTGTCCTGAACTTCTTAATTACAGTAATCGTGTAATTAGACAATGGTGTCTTAAATATTCATGCAGCGTTTAACTTTGACATCATCCCAATATCTTAATGCTTTTAATCACTGGCGCACATTCAAAGGATGCTGAGTAATTTGTTATATTTTGATTTGAGAGCAGTGTTCCACTCCTTGAGCCTTGATTTCAAGATGTAGAAAGTACTATAGCTGAACAGATGTTTCCATGTTTGCAATCTCTGAAGGCACTGAAACTGTAATTTTTGGACCTGGAACCTGGACGTTTCATTTGGAGTGGGTTCAAATTTCTAGAATAGTGTTTTTAGAATAGAGGTTTTCAATTTATACAGTACACATATGCTGTACACACTACTATGCTGTTGTATTCATCAAAGAATGCTGAAAATTTATGTTTCAAAAAATATATTAGGATAAGAATCACAGTTTTCAGTGTGATGATAATAAGAAATGTTTCTTGAGCACCAAACCAGCATATTAGATTATAGATATGATTTTTGAAGGATCACGTGACACTGAATACTGAACTAGTGGCTACTTAAAATTCAGCTTTACCAGCACAGGAATAAATTACATTTTAAAATATATTAACACAGAAAGCATTTTAAATTATAGTAATATTTTGCAGTATTACTGTTTTTACTGTAATTTTAAGTAAATAAATGCAGCCATGGTGAGGATGAGACCTTACAAAACTTAAAAAAATCTATAATATATGCTAAAAAAGATGAAATTCCAGAAGGAAGCAATTGCAAGAAAATGCTAATTCTCTTCTGATTTTTAAGACAACAAGCTGAACAACTATTTTGAAGTAGTACATTTATTTGAGAGGATGATGCCGTTTCAATTTCAGTAACCACAACAGGATTGGGGTCTGTTGTTGTTGACTGGACCCGCTGACTTCATTGAGTGAATTCATCTCTTTGATCACTGATCTGTGTGACCAGATGCTCAGGTTACGGGAGCGAGAGCGGAACCCTTGAGAGATCAAAGACAAACAATTCCTATCTCATCTGAAGCTGTAAGCACAGAATTAAGCGGGCGGATTAACTCATCCTCAGTTGTATGCCAGGCTGTCCCACAGAGAGTGACGTTTGACTGTCAGGGTGAGTGTTTTACCACCCGTGTAATGTAAGCAACAAAGAATTGTGCTTTACAAAGTAACTTCAGGCTTTGTTGTCTCAGAGTTATCCGTGCATTTTATTTAGAAATGATTTCAAGAAAAGGAAATTGAAATCACTTGCTCATCAGTGGATCCTCTGCAGTGAATGGGTGCCGTCAGAATGAGAGTACAAACAGCTGATAAAAGCATAACAATAATCCACAAGTAATTCACACCACTACAGTGCATGAATTGTTTTGTGAAGTGAAAAGCTGCATATTTGTAAGAAACTATCCATCAAGATATTTTTAACTTCAAACGTTGATAGTTCAAACTATCAATAATATTGCAGTTCTAATCAAATATATCTGGATTTTGGATATGGATTTTGATGTGAGACGACAACAGGGGATGATTTATCACTGGAGGAACTGTTATTATAGATTATGGGCTTATATTTTGTCCAGAATCAATGGTTTAAAAATGCCTTAACGATGGATTAGTTTCTTATAAACACAGCTTTTTGTCAGAAATCTTATTTTGATGGCACTCATTCACTGCAGAAGGATCCATTGGTAAGCAAGTGATCAAATGCCAAATTCTCCAAATCTCCTCATCTACATCTTGGATGGCCTCAGCATGAATACAATTTCAGTACATTTTAATTTCTGGGTGAACTATTAATTTAATAAATTATGTTAATATGCACCATGCAGATTCTGATTGGTCAGTTGCAGCATTTAGTATTCAATATTTTATTTCTATAATGACTGTTAAACTGTATTTGACCACTGAAAAAAATAATGTACAACTGTAAAAAGTGGTAAGAGGCAACTGGCCTGAACTATTTTTTTTTACCTAATTTGATCCTTAAAGATAGAAAAATACCTTTTTTTTGTTAAGCTAATGTTAATGATATTAAATAATATTTTTGACTTGAATAAATGTGAATTAATAGTCCTATTAGAGGTTACAGTGAGGCACATTTTTAGGTAACCTGACAAAACATTATTTTTTTTTTTACTGTGTACTTTTATATCTCTTTATCACTCCACCATCTGTAAAAATGCATCTGATATCTTGGGAAAACCAAAACCAATAAGAGGCACAAAAAGCTGCATGAGAGCAAACTTAAAATAGAGGGAGCTGTATCATTGTAGCTAATTATGTGAGCTAAATAGCCCATAGAAAAAACTACTTGGATTGCAGATAAACAGTAATGTACAAATTACCAATGTAATATTGTTGCAGTATTTCCTTCTAATTTGTAGCATTTAAGCTACAAATAAGATGAAATAATTTAAGCTCAAATTATTTTTTCATGTCCACATATTATGTTATTTGCTAGGTAGCCATGAAATTAGTAGGATAATTTATAGTCAGCAAGTTGTTATCACAAAATAAACCCCTTCAGAGTGGTACAATGGCGATAATGACCTGTAATGATATACGATAATGACCGGCTGACTGTACATAAACATTAGCCCCGTAAGAAGCAGCTAACAAGATCTTTGCATAGCCGCTCTCTTTTCTTGAAACTGTTTCAGCTTTACAGGGGAAATTAGTGAACATATGCTCTTCCTCTCTGCTGACTTAGCAGGGTGACCCATGAGATCTGCAGTGTAGTTTTGTGCGCTTTGTATTATCTTAGCAAGCAGAACATATTTGTTGTCACCCAGCATTTTCAGACCGGAGGTGGCATCTTCACTATTATGACATCTTAATAACTGTGATTTGTCTGGACAATTCTCAGCTTCATGGCTCGCTAGTTTGATAGTTATGTGTCTGAGAGCGAAACAGTTTGATATGGTAAACCTGAGAGGTTTGATGCCAATGTATCGGACACCAAGTTTCTTTCTCTGCAAGACTCATTGAGCTGAGGAATATGTGCCATGTCCTGGCATTCCTACACAGCTCTCAACTTATGCCCAGTCCGAGAGGAATTTGTTAATAGCGCTACCCCCTGATTGTGAAGCCATCTGTTCTGAAACAAGTTGTCAAAGGGAAGAAAGTGAATTTGTAAAGGCTGTAATTTTATATCCTTCTTTCAATCACTTACTTACCAGTCCAGAGTGGCTCTATCAGTTACATACAGCTCCCAGTATGGTGTGGACTTCATACTGTGCACTTTGGAAAATGTAAGTGAAATTATGTTTCACAACAGGACGTTTTTATGAGACGTAGATGACCACATCATCCAAAAGACAATCTTGACGTCAATGTTGCTTGCCTTTCCCTCAGCATCTGTTGTCCCTGGCTTTTATATACCTCGCTTCTCCCTTGATGATAAAATAATGGGGCAATTTTCCACATCAGAGCATTATTTCCATGCCAAGTTGTTGTGTCTCAGGCTGCTACTGTAAGAAGGAAAGATCAGACATGCAGGCAAAGCTACAAAAAGACCCCTTGCAGTTTCTCAGCAGTGCTTTTGCTCAGTTACAAAGCAATAGAGAGTTCAATACAACTGTTGTATTTATGTTTTTAAAATTGTACAAGGTGAAACAAAAAAAAAAAAATATATACACTGAACAAAATTATAAACGCAACACGTAATGTCAGTAGGACATATCAGTTTACATTTCCAAACGTTCATTTTGCCATTAATTGTAATAATCCAGTGAGATTTTTGTTTGCACAAGGAGTCTGAAAACAGCCACTCCACACAGAGATCTGATCTCATCATCATCCAGTCTGTCTGGAATGACATGAAGAAACAGAACAAACTGAAACAGACTAAATCCAGAAGAACTGTGGCAACGTCTCCAAGATGCTTCAAGAGACCTACCTGAAAAGATATCTGAAAGCTATGCGCAAGTGCCCCTAGGGCAAAAGCTGCTTTGTTTAAACGCAAAGGATGGTCACACCAAATATTGATTTAATTTAGTTAACAGAAGTTAATTGATAAATAAAATCTATTTATGACATTATTTTTGACAGCATCCTCATTTTACAGCATTTGTACACAAGTGCCTAAAACTTTTAACAGTACTGTAGCTTTGTATGTATATGTATGTAAATACACCACTGTGTATATACATACAAACATATATATTTGCTTATTGCTTGTTTTTTTTTCTGAATGGCTTGCAGCTAAAAAAATACTTTATGCTTAATGTGAGAGTATAATAAATGATTAAGAGCAAAATGTCTTCCCTCTACTTTAACAGTGCAGGCCTCACAGTATGAGGTCTGTCTCCTGGAGTGCGGTGGGGTTGGAGGCTTCTCTTGGATTTTTCATGGATATTTCTGGAATCATGAAGGCACAGTTCACCAGAGGGCAAGACTTGGCTGTCAATGGATATTATTCGCCAGGGCTAAGGTTGCACTTTATGACTACACTGCAGCAGTGTACACACAGAACAGATGTTCATCACAGCACCTAAAAGGCACGTGGGAAAACCAATAAAGAATTTCAAAGGAGCCACTCTGCAGGGGTCTATGAACAAACAGCCTGGTGTTGGAAAGAAGGAAGGAGCAAGGAAAATTGCCAGCTGATCATAGTTAACTAGATTGTTATTGTTATCAACGTGCTGCATCAAGATGAGACCAACCTACACCTTACTGCTGTGATTCACATCATAAAATTGACTCTGCATGACCTCAGGTACAAAGTGGTGGAGCAGTTTTAATGAGATGGATTTCAACCAAGTACACTGATTTAATTTGAATTGATTAGTAACAAAAAGCTTTTCTGGTTACAAACCTCTCCTTTCACATAATCAGAACACATCTGTGAACACTGTGAATGAGATTTTAAAACCTTTAGCACTTTTTTGTATAATTATATGAAGTTTAAGTTCTTTGAATAAAAATTAAAGCTCATATAAAACAAAGCCTCAGATGGCCCACCCACAGACCACCCAGAGCCTGTTCACTGAGCATCTAAAAGCATATTGATTTTACATATTTACATATTAATTACACAACTTTCAAGGGTAAAGGCACAAAGGGTTCTGTTTCAGTTCAGTTTCATTTTTTTGATATAATTTTTACTACATGCAATCCAGCACCATGATAATTCTCTAGAACTCTATACATGTTTTCCATTACTTTAACTCATCAACATAATTTAACCAGTTTCAACTTCATTTAAGTTATACAAGATTCAACTCATTTTTTTCTTCAGTTTTGAGCTGGATGTGTTTGGCCCACCACTTGGTAACTATTTAACTACGCTGTGAAAAAAACCCATAAAATAGGCCACAGTGTACTATATTAATATGAAGGAATTTTCTGTAGGTATTTTTTTACAGGTGTTTTACATGTATTTTGCACTTCAGTGCATTGTGTTTTAGGGTTAATGGAAATGTCCGTAAAAGTACCAATGTACGGCTATGCGAGGCTGATTCACTAGTCCCTCAACCCTATTAAAATCTGCCAAGAAATCATGCTTCTACTCAAAACATTATTTTGTCATAAATTTGTAAGACTGAGAGAAATGTTTTCTTAGCTTTTAAGACGCTTTTACAATTAAATTCACTGAAATGGTCACCTGTTGGTACTTAAATTACACTTACTTTCTCATTTTCCCCCTTATTTTACAGCATTAACCCAATTATAGGGTCTACTTTCCATGTGAAGCCTCGGGCTCTCTATTGGTTTAAATCTGAGCACAATAATACGACCTGGATGATAATTTATTTCTGTCCAATAAGGAGTGATTTCTCATAACTCCTCGGCAGAGCAGATGTCATCTGTTTTTAGTGGATATATTTTAGCTCTTCAGAGTTGAGGACAAGATGTTTTTCTATAAATCCTGTGCCTGGGAAGTGCACATTTTGTAAATTGTCCACGGTCATTTGGGAATTTTACTATTATACTGCATTATGACCATATACACTAAACCATTTTGAAAACATCTCGTTATAGTTATTATTTTTAATGATATCAGGTAGCTTTCTGTAATACTTTTGATTGATCAGTTGTGGCATTATTGTGTCATACATGGCAATACCTGAGATTGAAAGCAGATCTAGTTTTATTTCTCTCAAATCACCACAGACTTAACTGCAAATGACAAATGCAATGACACCATCTCAGTTATCGATCTTATTAATTATTACCTCATTAGGCGATTTAATATTACTGCATTTTTGCTGTGTTCGTCTTGTTGCTGGGATTTGCACATAGTAGTGGAGTGGGTCCTCATATTTATTTATTTCATAAGTGTACTTTCACTTCATAAAATACTAGCCTACAAGACTACTAATGCATAATAATATATAATAACTACAAAATGTCTTATGATATTGGTTGTAATTCTCATTAGATGAATGCAAATAAAAAATGGGCCTTTATTTATAGCTTTTTCCCCAGCAAACATGAATGGTTTATGAAACTGTCTGACCTGATTTCTTATGTGAAATGGAATATGACGACAGGAATAGCACCCCAAATGGCCTTAAACTTCACCATGATAAAGTGTGTCTGCCTTTAAATCCACCCCAGTTGAGTCTCTCTCCATTTGCCCTTTAATAGCACAGGAAAATAAGGAACTGTGGGTACGAGTTAGACCCCATAACCAAGATGAATGAATGAACTGCCATTTACCACTGCCAAGGCTTGAAGTTCTCATATTCCACATCAATTAGGCACAGTGGGGTGAAAAAGCAGGGATATAGTGGAAAACATTGCTACAGAGAACGGCTCACCTGACTATTCATTCATTATTCAGTTGAATTTAATAAACAAATTGAAGAACATTACAATTTTAGCATACACAAAGGCGGATTTTAAAGAATTTGTACGTATATATTTTGTTCTGTTACAGATGGTGTTATACAAACTTCCTGTACCAGGTCCCAATAAGAATAAAAGCTCTTGTACAGTATGTGATCAGTATGGTAGTGGACACGTTTGGAGGAGCAAGGGGTAATGAGTGAGATCACAGGTGACCCTGTGGAGCTGCTAATTCAATAGGGCTGCTGAATAATCAGCTGCTGATGCTCTTCGATAATGGAAACGCATTTTCTTGTGCCCTTGGCACCAACTAAAGCCCTGAGCAGAATACCACACCAGAAAATGGGCTTGATCCCATTTTTTAGCTCAAGCACAGTGTACGACTTACGATGCGATGCATCTTCCATGGCTTTTGTGGTCAGTGCTAACACTGAGTCACTACCTGAAAACCATTTTTTTCTACACATATTTTACTTGTTTTGTGCTAAAAAAAAAAGGATTTCAATCTGCCTCATAATACTCGGCTGTAATGCAGGGCAATGAAAACACTGACCAGCAATGCATGGCATTAATGTGGAGGACTTGTGCATTTACAGTGTTGACATAATGTTCCTCGAGCGGTACCATGAGGCTGCATTAAGTGGGTTTTATGTATTTGGGTCATGTTTGAGTTCCCCTAATTCCTAATTAATTACTATGACTCTCTCACTAGATCACATGATAAATGCCCTCTGCAGTGTATACCTTCAGGGATAAAGGCAGGATAGAGTGGTATATATTTTTTTTTGTCCGTTAACAAAATGCTTGGTGTAACAGCTCAGTTTGTTTGGTGTGGCTTAGTGGTTGAAATTTAGTACTGGAACAGATAAAGGTTTAAACCTTAGAGCTTGAATTGCTACCATTGTGCCTTTGGGTTGCTTAACTCCTGAATAGGGGCTCATTGATAATGACATCAACAATGATGTCACTACTATATGCCCCATCATTTTTTAAAACTGTGAGTTGCTTTTATTCCAACGTGTCTGATAAATGAAGAAAAGAGAAAAAAATGGATCATCATCAAACCATGAACCTTATATTGTAGTGCTTTCATGCATAAATCAATGTCAAATCAGACGTTTAACATCATCCGTGTTGAGAGGGGGTGACATGCTTGAGAACTGACCTGTCGAATGCATGTCCTCCAAATGCAGAATGAAATGATTACATCCCTAATGGCACTACTTCAAAAAGCATGACTTTGATAGTGAGAAATCCCATCAGGAATGTCGTTACATTTTTAGGAGCAACAACAGAGTTCTTAAGGAGGAAGAGGAGGCAGTAATGACGATGCTGCAGCG